TTGCAGAAGGCGCGGTGCATGTCACAAGTGACTCTCTGGTTGATGCGAGCACGCTTCGTCGACTTGGCGATGATGCGCTTCTGGATGAGGTCGGCATACTCCTTTGCAGCATTCTCGTCAAGTCCCGTGTCAGCAGCACGCTTTTTGAGCTCACGAAGCTGGTCACGCTCCCCTTGCTCAAGGTCACCTTCACCGACCTCGCTGCCCATGTCAGAGGCGGCGTCATCAGCTGCAGGAGATCGCATCCTTTGAAGGTGGAGTCGATACTGCTGCCATTGAGGAAGCAGGATGCCCGAGTACTGCACGAGCTTGGACAGGTCATCGTCGGTGAACTCGTGCAGGTGCGCCTCCACGTAGGTGTAGTCAACCAGCATGCCACGCAGCCAAGGAACAGTATCAACATCCATGCCCTCGCCCTCGTGGGCGGCCGCTTGGCGGGCGCCAAAGGCGCCGCCTGTCCGTCCGTCCGCGCCAGCAGGCGGGGGGCGCCATCCCCGCCTGGTGCTGGGCCTGGGCGGACGGCGCCCGCGGCCGCCTGGGCTTGGGCCTGCCGCTGCTCCCGCAGCCGCCGCTGCTCCTCGACCTTCGCCGTCTTGTAGGCCACGACATCAAAGGCAGACTTGGCATTGTCCGCCTCGCGCGTCGCCTTCCTGGCCACCCCGAGCTGCTGCTCAGCCTCGACGTGGTTCATCTGCATCTCCTCCATCGTAGCCTTGGCCTTGTTGAAGCGGTCCAGCCGCCACTGGACCTCCTGATACGCAATGCGCTCCTTCTTGGTGGCCGCCTCGCGCCTCTTTGCCAACTCCGTCTGCTCAGCCGCAGCGGGCCGATCGAGCTCGCTTTCCGAATACTCATGAACTTCAGGAACAGGGGGAGGCGCTGCATCACGAGCAACGCCTGCGAGCGCAGGGTAGTGCACGGACCACTTCTGCAACTCTTGGACCAGATGAGGTGGCATAGGCACCGCCGCAGCGCCTGGGGCACCTCCAGCAGGGTCCCACGAGGCAGAAGCAGGACCAGATGCATGAGAACAGTACTGACCACCACACTTGCTGCACTCGCGATGGCCATACCGAGTGAACTCCCAATGATTGCGCATTGAGCAGACCTGGTAGGAGTTGTCCTTCTCCTTGTTCTTCTTCTTATTGGAAGCAGCGGGAGCAGAGGGCTCCCACGCCCATGCGCCACCGCCGCCGTCGCCGCCAGCATGCCAGGGGGCGCGGCTGGGCCAGGCCATGGCCGAACACGGGCGGTGTACAGTAAGTGCCGAAGAGACTGCCAGACCACCAAGGGTCTCGCCCGCCGCGGACTAGCGGTATCCACTTTGTCCCACGGGGAACATTGCATCTTGAGCCAACATGGCTACGGGGAGGAGGAGGAGGAGGAGGAGGAGGAGGAGGCGGAGGAGGAGTATGAGGAGGAGGAGGAGGATAATGAGGAGGGGGACGGGGAGGAGGAGGATGATGAGGAGGAGGTGGAGGATGAGGATGAGGATGAGGATGAGGAGGCGGAGGAGGAGGAGGAGGAGGAGGAGGAGGAGGAGGGGGATGAGCCACCCTGCTCGCCTCCCCTGGCGCGCCGCCTAAGATAGGGGCATCGAGCGCAACCAGTCGCGAAGGGGAGGGGTGGGCGGATCATGTACTGCACGTGGCCCGTCATCAGGGGTAGCTATATGGGCAATCCACATCTTTCCGCCAGCGACGTCTTCTATGTCACCCGCTCTCGCGCCTTCGCCCCGCTATATGTTGGAAGATGTGTGATTATCGCTTCGCGATAATATTTGAGCAGTGAAACACGACCTCCTTCTGCCATCGAAACCTACCTCCCCCGTCTCATCATCCTCGCTATCCTTCATTGTTTCGCCGATCTCGCCCTATCATGTCCTGTTCGGTGGTCGCAGCGATTTCAGCGGTAAACGAACGAGCTCGTGAAAGTTAGCACCTCCTCCTCCTCCTCCTCCTCCCCTCCCCCACTTTGGCACGCCCCTCACACGTTTCGTGGTCCCGTAGAGAGCTCCAGCAAAGGCCCAGATGCCAGCGCTCGCATGGCAGCTCCGCGCCCATTTCGGCACACCCCTCACACGTTTCGTGGCACCATAGGGAGCTCCACCGAAGGCCCTACGGCTGCGTTTGCAGGCGGTTCCACCCGCCATTTCGGCAAACCACTCACACGTTTCGTCGCCCCACAAGGAGCTCAGCCGAAGGCCCCAGTGACTGCGTTCCCATGCGGTCGCACCGCAATTTCGGCACACCCCTCACACGTTTCGTGGCCCCATTGGAGCTCCGCCGAAGGCTCCAGAGGCTGCGTTCGCATGCGGTTCCACCCCCATCTTGGCACACCCCTCGCACATTTGTCGGGCCCCATTGGGAGCTCCGCCAACGGTCCCAGTGGCTGCGTTCGCATGCGGTTTCGCACCCATTTCGGCGCACTCATCGCACGTTTTGTGGTTCCCATATGGAGCTCCACCGAAGGCCCCAGCGGCTGCGTTCGCATGCGGTTCCGCCCCCATTTGGGCACACCCTTCGCACGTTTTGTGGCTCCCACAGGGGCTCCACCGAAAGCCCCAGTGGCTGCGTTCGCATGCGGTTCCACTTCCATGTCGGCGAACCACTCACACGGCTTGTGGCCCCATAGGGAGCTCCACCGGCGGCCCCAGCGATTGCGTTCCCATGCGGTCGCACCGCAATATCGGCACACCCCTCACACGTTTCGTGGTCCCATAGGGAGCTCCACCGACGCCCCCAGTGACTGCGTTCGCATGCGGTTCCACCCCAATATCGGCATACCTCCCACACGTTTCGGGGTCCTATAGGGAGCTCCACCGAAGGCCCCAGTGGTTGCGTTCGCATGCGGTTCCGCCCCCATTTCGACACCCCTCACACGTTTCGTGGTCCCATAGGGAATTCCACCGAAGGCCCCAGCGGCTGCGTTCCTGAGGGTGCTTCGGATTTCAGTGGGTTTTCAGGATTCTTCAGGGTTCGTATGGAATCACTTGAATCCCAGAGATTCCTATGATTCCTTAGGATTTCTCGGGAGTCCTGGGAACATTGCCTGCCCGTCGCGCCAGCATCCGCGCAGAATTTTCGCCGAAGCCGCGCCGAGCCCACGCCGTGCCAACACCGAGTGCGTGTTTCGCCAAACCGACTCGCTGTCTGTATTGGGCGGCAGGCTGACCGTGAGGTCCAGTGGGGGGGATCGAAGGAAAACATAAATTATAATCACAAGCTTTCGAAGCCCTGCGCAGATTTATTCCATCTGGGCTCGGAGCGAGCCAGCGGCGTCGCCCGAGACCGTTCGAAGCAATCCAGGCACCCGCGGAACGCTTCCGTCGAGGCGCAGCTGCTGGAAGACATCCAGATGTTAGAGAAAACCCCGGGGAACCGACGAGCGCGCCCGAAGACCTCGAGCTTCGAAGCCTGCAGTCCAGATATGGGGCCAGGGCTGGACATAAACGCTGTTTTGTTGGACTTCGGACGTGTTTCGTTTTTCGTTTTGACAGGGGGGTACAAAAGAACATGGAGAGCACAACGAAACATTAGCCTGGCGAAAGGCCCAACCATATGCAGCATAGGCTCCCTGTGGGGCCAAGCAACTTGTGAGGAACGTACCGAAACGGGCGCGGTGGGCGCATGCGAACTCGTATGAGGGGTGTGCCGAAATGGGTGCGGTAGCGCCATGCGAGCGCAGCCTCTAGGGCCCTCGGTGCAGCTCCCCATGGGGCCACGAAACGTTTGAGTGGTGTGCCGAAATGGCCGCGGCGGTGCCATGCGAGCGCAGCCTCTGGGGCCTTAGGTGGAGCTCCCTGTGGGGCCACGAAACGTGTGAGGGTGCCGAACTTGCCGCGGCCGTGCCATGCGAGCGCAGCCACTGGGGCCTTTGGTGTAGCTCCCCATGGGGCCACGAAGCGTGTGAGGGGTGTGCCGAAATGGGCGCGGTGGTGCCATGCGAGCGCAGCCATTGGGGTCCTCGGGGGAATTCCCCACGGGGTCACGCAACGTGTGGGGTGTGTGCCGAAATGGCCGCGGCGGTGCCATGCGAGCGTAACCACTGGGGCCCTCGGGTGAACTCCGTATGATGCCACGAAGCGTGTGAGGGGTGTGCCCAAATGGGCTCGGCGGTGCCATGCGAGCGCAGCCACTGGGGCCCTCGGTGCAGCTCCCCATGGGGCCACGAAACGTGTGGTGTGTGTGTGTGTGTGTGTGTGCCGAAATGGCCGCGGTGGTGCCATGCGAGCGCAGCCTCTGGGGCCTTCGGTGCAGCTTCCCATGGGGCCACGAAGCGTGTGAAGGGTGTGCCGAAATGGCCGCGGCGGTGCCATGCGAGCGCTGGCATCTGGGCCTTTGGTGCAGCTCCCCATGGGGCCACGAAGCGTGTGAAGGGTGTGCCGGAATGGCCGCGGCGGTGCCATGCGAGCGCAGCCACTGGGGCCCTCGGTGCAGCTCCTCATGGGGCCACGAAGCTTGTGAGGGGTGTGCCGAAATGGCCGCGTCGGTGCCATGCGAGCGCTGGCATCTGGGCCTTTGGTGCAGCGCCCTATGGGATCACGAAACGTGTGAGGGGTGTGCCAGAGTGGGGGACGAGAGGAGGAGGAGGACGAGGAGCAGAAGGCGGAGGAGCAGGAGGAGGAGGAGGAGGAGGAGGTGGAGGACGAAGGGATGAGGATGGGAGGATGGGGGCAGCGGGAGGAAAGAGTGAAACGCGGGGCGCTGTCTCTTCAGAGCGAGTTCCCAACACCACAGGATGGTTGGGGACAAGCGAAAACAAAACGAAACAAAACGTTTGGGTCCAGCCCTGTATCGGATGTTTTTTTCGCGGATGCCCCCCGCGCGGAACGTGTCCGTGCGACCACGTATCCGTCAGATACCCCCCCCCCTTCGAATCCAGACCGCGAGGGCGCGGACACGGAGCTGTCCGCCGCTCGTGACCTCCCCCCCCTCCGTGTGGTGAAGCCACGGCGGGCGCGAGGCTGCCAGGGCTCCCCCCCCGTCTCCCCGCGGCAGGATGCCGCGCTGCTGCCCCGAGAGCCGGCGGAGAGGGGGC